TTATTTCTTATCCCCTTCATCCTACATGTATCTACATCCTCCTTCTTCTTTTAAATGCTGTCACTGTGTCTTTAATGTCCAGCATCTTTCCAACTATGTCCCCTCAGGAGTGTGCACTGGCGTACACAGTCCACCTTCAGTGTTCCCCAAAGCCGCTTGCCTCTGGTTGCTACCGTGATGTATAGCCCTCATTTAGTTTATTCCCTAGTCCCTGGATTAACCCCAGGACTGGCTTGTTTGGATAGACTCTTTTTCACACCTTAGTCAGACACTGATTCACAGTGCTCCCTGAAGGAGGTACTGGCACGACACTTATCCTCCTCATCATACAGGCAGACTTAAATTTCTGCTAGATTTTGAATCATTACATTCTTCATATAATATGCAGTTTATGCTTACTTACTTGTGCATTTATTTATTCAAGCACATTAGCATCTTAACTCAAATCATTACATCAAAACCTTTGGGAGCACCAGAAGGTCTCCTTTTGTTTCATCAGAACTAGTGCTTCAGTTTTATTATGCATCAACAAGCCAGCTAGTCACCCTGGGAACTGTCAAGTGTGTGCGTAGCACCAGGGACTGAAAGAAAATCTCCAAATGGTAGCCAGATGGAGCACAATTTATTTCAACAGTAAAATTAATTTAATTTTTTTGTTGTGGTTGTTTTGTAATGGGCAGAGTTGGAGACCTTACTTCCACGACATGTGGAATTTCCCATGCTTTGGGAAGTGGAACATGTGTGTCAACAAATCCCTTTGCCTCTGAAATGCTTGCCTGTTAACAGGCCCCACCTGGCTGGCCCCTGATCAAGCTCTGCTGTCTCTGGAGGGCTGGGCAGCACAAGCCCCGGGAGGAAACTGAGAACAGTGCACTCTAGGTGCTCCATCCCGCTCCTCCTCCTTTCTTCAATAAATCAACCAGCTTTCCTCCTCTTTCTCAAATCTTTCTTTCTTTCTAATGGAAATTGGTTATGTTAGAATGGAATATTCTTTATGTAAACTCATTACTATTTGGTAATATAAACCCACAAAGTAATTTTTTTCTTGACTATAAAAGAAATATACACCAAGGGAAAATTTTAAAAGTGTTAATCCCACCAACCAGAACTAGTCATTGCCCATGTTTTTGGCCATCTCCATTGGGTTGTTTCATTGGTCAATTCTGCAGATATCCTTTGTGTACATAATTTTGTATCCTTGCTATTATCATGTTTTGTATTACTAAACATTTCTCATAAATCTAATTTTTATGGTTTCTTAATATTCTTTTGTATGAATGTGTAATGATTTTATCCTCATTTTAGACATTTAAGGTATTTAAAAGTCATTACATAATTTTTTGTATGTGTGTATCTTACATACACATGCCAGATTAGCTTTTAGTACAGTCATGAAAATAGTATCAACATTATAGGAACATTTTTAAGAATCTTGAACTGCATTGCTAAATTGCTCTTTAGAAATGCTGAAATAACTTACCCTCCAATTAAAATGTGTGTCTAAATTCTTTTGCTTTACCCAACACTGTTGTATTTTAAGAAATGAATTAAAGTGGATTAAGAAAGGATAACTTGTTATTGTAGCTCTGAGTACCTTGACTGAGAATGAATACACTTTCAAGTCTGAGTCTTCTTTGAACTCATGTTATTGGTTTGCATGAATTTATCTTAAGGATAAGTCCTTGTCTTTTCTCCCTCAGGATGTTGCACTTCAATAGCATTTAGAATAAATTTCAGTTTTAAAATTTTAAGGTTATTTTAAGCAATATAATAGTTTATGGGGGCCGGGGAAATGGCTCAGTGGAATAAGCGGTTCCCCAGCAAGCGCAAGGGCCTGAGTTCAATCCCCAGTTCCGCCAAAAAAAAAAAAAAAAGTTTATGGTTTGTGTCGAGGTGTCCCCCCAAAGCCTCATGCAGTCATGGGGTGGATTCAAGAGTTTGTGATTAATTCTTGATCCAATGTTGGGGTTATGGGTGTGAGTGCTACACTTGCTCTGGGGCAGATAATCTCATTACAATGTAAGGAGGGGAGAGAGATTTGCTAGCTGCCCCTCCCTTTGTTCTTTGCTGTTTTCCACAGCCATACCCTGTTACCCTCTACCATGTACCATTCTGCCTTGGAGCCAGCCACGTGTGGACTGAAACCTTTAGCAACTGTGCTACATAAGCCTTTCCTTCCCTAATTTTGGGTGTTAGGCATTTTGTCCCATCAATGAAAGAAGAGTAACTGAGACAATAACAAACCCATTAAAATGGCATATTGTAGAAATTCAGTCATTTTTTTCAAGATGCCTTATCCTTGGGTATCTCCTTTTACTTGGCTGAGGCAAAATTCCATACAGCAGCAGATACACAAATGTCCATCTCTTTGAAATCACTAGTGCATCTGTGTATGTGAACATACATATATACACATATCAGTGAGTATTAATATATACCATGGTATGTATACTTTTATATCTATATAATGAAAATAAAGCAGATTGTACAATTCTCATAGCTATTTTGTATTTATTCTGCATAATACTTCATAAAAGATAGGATAAAATTAATTTGAGAAATTCCTGGGCTGATAAATTTGATGAATATTGTACATTCCAGATATAAAATTTTTCTATTACTCACAAATAAACCAGATTTTGAAATTTTTCAGAAAAAGTGGTGACTACAGTTAGTTTTCCCATACAGGAATAGTTATTGGTATGAAATAAGAGAAATATGAAGAAGCCTACGTGTAAGCAAGTACAAAACTGGTTGCCAAGGTTTTTAAGTTAATCTCTTAGGACTTGAAACAACCAGCCAAGTTTTAATTCACTGGTTCCTTTCAGTAAAAGAACAGTTTACAATGAAAACTTTATGAGAATTTGAAACATTGTCTTTAGACATGAGGCAACAATAAACATTTGAATGAAATATGCAAAGAATTCTATTTTATTTTACACTGATGCAATTGTGGTATTTCCTTTGCCTTTAGTACTGCATGTTAGATTCTTAAGCCAAAACCAAAATAGTGATGCAATAGCTGGATAGATCTTTAGCGTGTTACTGGCCATGACAAATACATTCCTGATTAAGCACACCCATTTCTTATCCTGTTACACTTCTTCACCATCTAAGAGAGATTAAGTCAGTTTCATATTACAAGTTTTTTATTAGTGAGCTTGCTACTTGCTTGCATCTTTCATTTACTTAATACTGGCATTTTTCTCTTCTTGATAATAAGACAAAGGGGAGGTAGTGGTGGAGACATTGTTTAAATAGTGCCACATCATAGTCAGATGAAGGAGATAGGTTCTTGTTTTCTTTGCATAGTAGGGAGACTACAGATAGTGATAATAATATCTTACATGGTTTAAGAAAGTTAGAAGGAAAGATTTTGGATGTTTTCATCTCAAATAAAAAGAAATGATATGTTTGAGGACGTAGATTTGATTACCAATTCTAATTTGAACATTACACATGTATTGAAACATCACATGATCTCCATCAATATACACATTTTTGTGTGAATAACAACAAAAAGGAAAAGTAGTGCAGAGACCATGATCCTATAATCAGAACCTTTAGAGATTAGGTATCTAATCATTTGTCCAGTAGGCATCTAACTTATTGGGCTTTCTTGAAAGCATAATGTGAGTAGCCAGAATCTTTGAATCTGGAAAGGACTTCCAGAGAGAAGGTGGTGACATAACCATTTTCCACTCTCCATATACATTTTCCCTTTGAGTGACACAATCTATTGCCATGACATCAGGCACTACTCCTGCTTTCTATGCTGCAGGTTGTGTCTTTCTTTTTAAGGTCTATACTAGAATTCAACCTCTGAATTGGATAAACCACTGCTATATTTTAGATGTGAAACATACCCGAAAAGTCCACATGTTAAAGAGTTGGTCACCAGCCTCTGGTGCTTTTGGGAAGTGGTGGAACCTTTAGGAGCTGAGGTATAGGAGAAGGAAGTTAGATCAGTAGGTGTGCCCCAGGACAGGCTGTCAGGACACCAACCCCTTTTCCTTTGCCTTGCTGTTCAGCTGTAGGAGATGAGTAGTCTCCTTCCCCCTGCGCTCCCAGCATGGCACACTCTTCACCATAGGTCTAACAATAGGGCCTGGTGACCATGGAATGAATTCTCTGAAATCATGAGCCAAGATAATCTTTACTTTTTGCGAGTTGTCTTACGTTTTCTTGTCATAGGCTGGGATGCTGTCAACATGACCAAGAGTGCTTTATCTTCTCCTCTCCCTCCTCAGGGTTTTTCATAGTCACTGATTTTTAGGTCAGTGTCATCACCCGTCTGGCCAAGTACTATACTTCATTCTTGTGTCTTTCTTTTTCTTTTTCTGAATTTAGGGCAGGGTCTGTAGGGTATACAGGGTCTCACTATGTAGATCAGACTCATAGTGATTCTTCTGTTTTCAGCCCCCAAAGCGCTGGGATTACAGATAGATGCATGCACCACCACACCCAGTCTCAATCGCATTCTCAGTGGGCCCCAGCGGCGGGGCCGGCATTGCACACTGGGGATCAAACCCCAGCCACTGTGCTTTACCTAAGCAGGTGCTTTAGTCTGCTGAACTATCAGGTTGGCCCCTGATTTTGTATCTTTCTTATTAGACACCAAGTCTTATTGATTAGACTTCCTCAGTGTTTCCTTAACTCATCCTCTTTCTAAAACTTCAAACTTCCAGCCCTAATGTCTTAGTCTATTTGTGTTGCTATAAGAAATACCTGAGCCTGTGTAGGTTATAAATAATAGAAATTAATTTCCCAGTGTTCTGGAAGCTTGGAGAGCAAGAGTAAGGCCTCAAAGAACAGAGAACTTTTCTACTGATATCTCTTTATTATGAGTCCACTATAGTATCATATAAAAATAGTTAATAAGCAGTTTCTGATTATAAAGGAAGGAAAAAGGAATTGAACTCTTTACAAAAAGACAAACTGTTCCAAGGCAATCTTGAATCTTAGTTTAAAATAACATGCCCAAGAAAAGAAGTGTTTACCTTCTGCTGTGGAAATGTGGACTGCGTCATGGCAGTTTCAAAACTGTGGGTCTCCGCTGCTTGAGTCTTCTCCCACAGGGCCCTCAGGAACTGCACGGAGTGACTCTGTATAGACAGGGGTTCAGGAAACAGGTTCTGAAGGGGCAGAAAAAAGAGAGACACGACATTATGTTTTGGCCTAACAGTTTCATTTGATGGATTCATGGCACTAAAGAGGTTTTGTTTGAACGTTAACATGATTTAAATTGAAGTAAAACAACGGAGATCTATTTTAAGGAACAAACACGTATTTCAGGCTTTTCATTTTTTTTAATCAGAAAGTTTAAATTATTTAGCAAATTTTTCAGGTCAGCTTTTACGGTCTAAAAGGTCCCCAAAGTCTCATGCTTCTTGGAGATGGTACCTTGTTCAAAGGGCTGGTGGCCACTGGGTGCGTGACCAGAAAAGGGGCATTCCTCCTGCTCACAGGGCCTCCCCTCCTCTGCTGGCTGCGGAGACGAGCAGCTGTCCTGCGCTCTGTCCTACGTCCGCCGAGCCCTTCCCCCTACCGTGCTGTCTCACCTTGGAAGCCAGGCAGCCAGGACTGACT